GGAGAACGAGGGAGGAGCAGAGAGGACGAGAGAGAGAGAAAGAAGGAGAGAAAAGACGAGTGAGAGAGAGAAATGGGACGTGGGACGGGGATGGAGATCGGACGGCGGCAGCGGGGAACCGTAGGAGATGAGGAGGAGGGAGAGAGGAGACAGGAAACTTCACTATCTCGAACCTCTGCGATCCGATCGGAAAGGACGAGTAGGAGCGAGTGGGGGGAGAGAGAGAAAGAAGATGAGAGAGAGAGAGAGAGAGAGAGCAAGGACGGAAAGGGAGAGAGAGAGGAGAGTGAAGAGTAGAGTGAGAGAGAGAGACGGAGAGGAGGAGGAGAGAGATGAGAGAGATGAGAAGAGAAAGAGAGAATGAGAGAGAGAGAGAGATTGAGAGTGAGAGTGAGAGAGAAGAGGGATGGGAGAGAGAGGGAGAGGCGAGAGGGAGAGAGAAGAGAGGGAGAGAGAGAGAGAGAGAGAGAGAGAGAGAGAGAGAGAGAGAGAGAGAGAGAGAGAGAGAGAGAGAGAGATGACGGAGCGAGAGAGAGAGAGAGCGAGGAGGAGAGAGAAGCGAGAGAGAGAGAGGAGGAGAGGATGAGAGCGACAGAGCTGATAAGCGAGAGCGAGAGCGAGAGCGAGAGCTGAGAGCGAGAGCGAGAGCGAGAGAGAAGAGAGAAGAGAGAGAGAGAGAAGAGAGAGAGGAGAAGAGAGAGAGAGAGAGAGAGAGAGAGAGAGAGAGATGAGAGAAGAGAGGAGAGAGAGAGAGAGAGAGAAAGAGAGAGAGAGAGAAAGAGAGAGAGACAGACGAAGAAAGATAAAGACAGAGTCAGAGGAGAGAGAGAGAGAGAGAGAGGAAGGGGGAGGGGGGGGGAGGAAAGAGAGACACGGAAAGAGAGGCCGAGACAAAGACACAGAGACAGATAAGCAGGCAGACAGACAGACAGAGGCAGATAAGCAGGCAGACAGACATACAGAGACAGATAAGCAGGCAGACAGACAGACAGACAGACGGACAGACAGACAGAGGCAGAGAAAGGCAGACCCGGACCACAGAGGATCCACCCTGTCTTTTGTCACCCACGCATGCCCACGCATGCCCTCTCCTCGCCGGTCGCTCCTATTCATGCTAAAATACCCTTGCTATAATGTTTACGTGATGCATTATGGCTATCACTGACGTATTCTGACCGGAGCTAAAAGGCCGTGTTAGTGTTTGTTGTTCGTGAGAGAGGGATTAGGGGAGTCGAATGCGATTAGGGCCTTCCTGAGGTAGCGGGGGAATCCTCATGAAAGTTAAGGTAGGTGCTGGCGTTGGGGCCGCGGGTGCTATTCTCTCTCTCTCTCTCTCTCTCTCTCTCTCTCTCTCTCTCTCTCTCTCTCTCTCTCTCTCTCTCTCCTCTTTTTCTGTATGTGCGATTATATGGTCTTACATAATATTACTTAAGTGATGTGACTTGTTTCGGGTTTCTTAGACTTTATATATTCATAATACCCAAGGAAAATTCACACGTTAAAAGTACACCTTTACAACATTCGGTAAGTAATTGTAATAAAGCTGGAGGTAAGTACAGTCACGTCCAAACAGAAAAGTAAAGAAATAGAATAATAGAAACAGATAAAGTAGCCAATAGTTCATGCACGTGCCTATAGAAAGAATAGAGAAGTACCGTGCCTATAAAGAATAACAGAAAAGTGAAAATAAAATCAAATTGTATTATATCAACGCCATGCACTATTGTAGGGGGATACACACCTCCGAGAACTCCTAAATACAAATTAACAAAAAGAGAATAAACTGCACTTAAACAAAAGAGGTTCTATCCGTATGACTGACCAAAATGGAAGGGCGGAGCAGATCACTCACACTGTCTGAGGCATAAGTCACGCCCACATCTGGGTCATGCGCATTGCTCGTGGGGTGAGGTAAGTCATTGCCAGAATGGTCATGCAAAACACACCTGGATCATGAACTGGAAACAGGTAATGCCATGAATGATTATGTCTAAGATTAATGTAATTAAGAGAGTAAATAAATGGGAATGATAATAGTCATTACGTTATTCTATGGGTGATAAAATCAATTAGGAAATATATTGACTGACAATAATGATTATAATATTAGTGATGATGATATTAGTGATGATAATGATAAGTAATAATGAAAATGACATTAGAATTTTATTGATAATAAAGATAAGGGTGGTAATGATAATGGTAACATGAATAATAGTAATGAATAATAATAATATAATGATAATAATGACAAAAAACAATGAATAAGATAAATGATAATGATAATAATAATGATAACAATGATAATGATAATGAGAATGGTAACAATAAGGATAAAAATAATGATGATAATAGCAATAATAGTAATAATTGTAAAAAATAATAGTAATAATATTCTCTGGGTAACAATATAAAGAATAATAACAATGATAAAAACAATGAGAGTAATAGTGATAATGCAAATCAAATAATGATGATAATAATAGTAATAATGGTACTACTAATTATCATAACTGTAATAATAATGATAACAATAATAAAAACAATTTTGATAATGATGATGATATTACTATTACTATTATTATCATTACTATCATTAGTAACAGCAACAACAACAACAAACATAATGATGATAATGATGTTAATGAAGAGGAGGAGAAAGACATTGATAATAATGATGATAGTAACGGCAAAGAAAAAATGATAACAATGACAGTAATGATAACATTTTTCAGTATAATCACTATAGAAAAAATAAAAATAATAAATCAATGAATAAATAAATAATAATATAACAAATATGCAAATAGAAGCCAGATCTGACCTCGAAGAACATCTTCTCGTGACAGGCAGGGAAACGTGACAGGGAAGTGATGGGACTATGATTTCGATCAAGAACACGAAACGCAAGTAATACACTTGTGCAATCTGAAGGAAATTTGCATATCGTCTATCTCTATCAGTCATTCTTCTCTCTCGTTATCTCTCTCTTATTCTCCTGATCATTTCCTCCTGTCATCTTTTTTTTTCGTCCTTCAAGTCACTTTCTGTCTCTGTCTCTTAGGATGTATATATATATATATATATATATAATATATATATATATATATATATATATATATATATATATATATATATATAATATATATAATATATACAACACACACACACACACACACACACACACACACACACACACACACACACACACACACACACACACACACACACACACACACACACATACACACACACCACACACACACACCACACACACACACACACATATATAATGTATGTGTGTGTGTGTGTATATATATATATATATATATATATATATATATATATATATATATATATATATATATATATATATTATATATATGCGTGTGTATGTATGTATATATGTACGTATATATGTATAAAAAGCATCCTGTTTTACGCTTGAAGACCATGTGCTATTCTTGGTAAACTATTATTGCACAGATGATAGACATGATAAAACAAACGTCTTTGCCATTAAACATGTATTAAACATGTTGGGCGTGGTTGTTTTGTATCTTTTGGTCCACGTGATTAGTAAAAGTTATTCTTTCAACGTCAGTGGCATTGTGATTTGGCTATTAAGGTTAATTTAAGCGATGTTCGTTATGTGTGGAAGTATTAAGTAATAATTCATTAAGGCATTATGCTGTGCAAACTCCAAGAATATTGTCATCTCTATCATTATTACTATTATTTTTTACTTGAAAATGAAACTACCTTTTTTGATACCCTCCAAGTTCTTCTTTGTAAGTGAAACATCTTCAAAATATCGTAGAAAATCTAACTAAATCGTCGTTAACATTGAAGGTTTGTTTTAGTAAAGATATAAGTTTACTGTAGGAGGAGCTGCTTGATTAGCACAAGTGAGCCGGTCGACCAAGCTAGACAAAGTGTAAGTTTTAAATGATATGTGAAAAATGACTGTATCTACACTTACACTGAGAGCGATAACTGAACCATGCACTGAAAGTCATTGAAAAACGGTGTATGTACAAAATCTTTTATTAATATACATTACGTAACTTTACAGTCGATGTGGTTTCTCTTCAACTATAAACTTGCTTCGGTTTATACGGAACAACAGGCCTATATGTTGTCGCTGGTACATAGGGTGGGTTTTCTATAGGCCTATCAGAGAGCAAAATTTCGTAAGTGGTCTCGGGGTTCTTGTTAAACTTAGGCAAGGGTGTGAGTCCAGGCTTGGGGTTGGTCTGAGGTCTGTGGGTAGACTGAGGTAAGTAAGTTGTCTGAGGTTTTCCTGTATGCAGGTAAGTAGCCTGAGGTTTCCTAGTGTTGTTATAAGTGGTCTGAAGTTCTTCAGCGTTCAGATAAGTGGTCTGAGGTTTCTTAGTGGTTTGATAAGTGCGTCTGGATTTAGTTCTCGACAAATAAGGAGGTTGAGGTCTTGCCGTCGGTAAGTCAGTAGGTTTGGGTCCCTTGGTAGGTAGATAAGTAGACCGAGGTTTCGCAGTTAACAAATACGTGGCTTGGAGATCTGCAACGGGAATGGGGTCAGACCTCCTAGTGGGTAGATAAGTGGGTTTAGTGGGTTTAGTGGGGTAAGATTAAGTGGGTTTAGTGGGTAGATAAGTGGTTTAGTGGTACATAAGTGGGTTTAGTGGGTAGATAAGTAGATCGAGGTTTCTCAGTTGGCAAATAAGTGGTTTGGGGTTTCAACGTAGTTAGAAAAGCAATCTGAGGTCTTCTGGTGGGTAAATAAGTAGATTGGGGTTTCTTAGTAGGTAGGTAGGTAGACTGAGGTCTCTCAGTGGGTAGATATGTAGATTGGGGTTTCTTTGTAGGTAGATAGGTAGGCTGAGGTCTCTCAGTGGGTAGATATGTAGATTGGGGTTTCTTTGTAGGTAGATAGGTAGACTGAGGTCTCTCAGTGGGTAGATATGTAGATTGGGGTTTCTTAGTAGAAAGGTAAATGTTTTGAGGTCTTCTGGTGGGTAGATAAGTAGACTGAAGTCTCTTAGTAGGTAGATAGGTAGATTGAGGTCTCTTAAGGGGTAAATAAGTGAAATTAGATTTCTTAGTGGCTGAGGAGGAGTCGCTAATTTTCGTAGTAGGTGTATAAGTAGGCTGAGTGTTTTGGTTTGGCTCTGATTTGTGAATCGGGCGAGGTTTGTAAGTAATCCGTGGTTTATGAGTCAGTTTAGGTTTGTAAGTAGGTCGTAGTTTATGAGTCAACTGAGGTTTGTAAGTGGGTCGTAGTTTTTGGGTCAGCTGAGGTTTGTAAGTGGGTCGTAGCAGCTGAGGTTTGTAAGTGGGTCGTAGTTTTCAACTGAAAGTTAGGTCAACTTAGGTTCGTAAATATTTTGAGCATTGACTTGTCGACCAGGATTCTCAATATGTTGTAAGGAAGCATAGGCAGCCTCTCCTTCATAGCTGACCTCGGCCACGTAGCCTGAGTCGCCGTCCACGTAGTAGGTGACCTTCTGCAGGCGGCCGTCGGGGAGCTGCACGTAGTAGGATCCTTGGGTGTCGTGGCCGTCGCGGGACTCCTGGTGGCCGAAGTCGTTGCCGGAGTCGTCGTCCTTGACAGAGTAATCGAAGGTATGTGTGGGATTCTGCGGTTGGTTGTGGAAAGGGAGTAAAGATGAATAGGTTTTTTTTTTTTTTTACGTATCCAATACAGTTATCATCGTTTTTGTTACTACTACTACTGCTACTTTTATTTTTCTCATCACTTTTTCTTATCATTTTTCTCATCATTTTTTTACGTATCCAATACAGTTATCATCGTCGTTGTTACTACTACTACTGCTACTTTTATTTTTCTTATCACTATCATAATTGCTATTACCATTATCAGTATATTCACTAATCTTATCCTTATTACTATCCATTTATTAATTACTATATACTTACAAGAGGAAAAGTTTTTTTTTCTTAAACCATCACTCACCTGAGCTGTGAAAACCGGCTCCAATACGTGGGAATTACGAAGGAGATCTGAACTTTGCACCTTCTGCGTGGGAAACGGATACCCCTTATGAACCAATGTCGAGTTCCTTTGAGATTTGTGGGTTTCCCGAGGAGGACCCTGGTGCCTTTGGTCCTCCTGCGCAGGATCGTGAAGGAGTGGAGTCCTGCGATCTGGCTCGGGTCTGTGTGTGTTAGGAGGTCTGTGCCTAAGGGGAGTTTCGTACGTAACAAGGGCGGGGAGGGTGCCTGGACTCTTAACCCTTGGGGAATTGGCAGCCGTAGAAGAGACAGCAGCCGCGAGTAGCAGGAGGGTCCAAGATGCCACCTGTGGAGATAGATGATGATAAGATGAGCGGGGATAAGAAGGATGCTGCTGCTGAGGATGATGGTGATGGGAAAACTGATATTGACGATAATGGTGATGATTATACTGATCATATTAATTCTGAGAATGGTAATGATTATCATAAGGATAATGACAATCATAATAGCAGTAGTAATAATGGTAATGATGATAATAATGATAGTAATAATGATAAAGATAATGATAAAGGTAATAGTATTGACAATAATGATAATCATAATAATAATGATAATGATTAAGATGATATTAATAATGATTATAGTATATAAAATATGATTTATAGTGATAATAGATATCATGATTATAGTAAAAATAGAAATCATGATTATATTAATAATCATGATGATAGTGAAAATCATGATAATAATAATTGTTTCATAATAAAGATAATAATAATAATAAAAATGGAAGTAATGATAATAACAGTTATGAAAGTAATAATGATGATAATATTAATGATAATAATAGCAATGACAAAAATTATTATAAGAATTATAACAATAAAAAAGTGGACATGATAATCATATCGATAATAATGATGGCAACAAAGATACTGACAATAATAAAACAATTGCGATAATGGTGATAATAATGCTAACAACAATATTAATGATGCTATGATAATTATAGTAAGAACGATCATAAAGACAAGACAAAAGAAAACAATGATAAATGGAAATCAATGTATATAATATATATAATATATATATATATATATATATATATATATATATATATATAATATATATATATAATATATAGTATAATGAATAACGCAATAAGTAGACTTTACACACTCTACACTACACTTCCCCCCTGAAAAATGATAATAAAAAATAGCAAAAAAGATAATGAAAAGAAAAATAACCAAAATATTATTGCTACTATAACGATGACCTAGCCTGTAAACCCTACCTTCATCTTGACCACTGTATGGTGCCAGTATGGTGAATGGTGTGCCCAAGCGATCACACCGTCCCTTTATATGTCCCACGGTAGGAATAGGGCGTGGGGAGTGGGCGTGGTGGTTGATGGGCGTGTGGGCGTGAATTGGTCCTGCAGCGATGATGTACAAGAGGATTTTAATTTCATTAGCAGCTATAGTGTTGGCTTCGATG